TGGATGCTCAATAATGCATAGTCCCAAGTCCACATTCATAAATAAATATCAGAAAAGAAAATCACAAATCATGTCAAGAAACATGTATGATGAGGACAATGTTGGAGATTTTAAGTCAAATCAAGATATGTTTAATTAATAAACATTTTTATGTTAATGAGAGATAACAATACCATGCTTGTTGACCTCTTTGATATGACATGTCTAGGCAATTCTTAGGTAGTTTAAGTTTTGTTCCATGAACAGTAATGTGTAGGATGGTATTTTATGAGTTTGTTATGTTCTTTTTCTTTCAGGTATCACAGATGATGATCTCCGTGAAACTGCATATGAAACTCTTTTAGCTTGTGCAGGGGCTGCTGGGTAAGCGCTCAGATATATCTTCTTTTTACTGATACATGCTGGCTTGTAATTGCTTTCCTAAATTATTAAGCTTACTTTGCTTTTGTTGTTGCTGCCTTTTTTTCCCTTCATCTGCTTTCTGTTCTTATAAATCAGAGGTCTGATCGTGCCATCAAAGGAGAAAAAGAAAGACAAAAGGTCAAGGTTGATGAGGAAGCTTGGACGAAGTAAGAATGGGAATGTTGCAGCTGAGGCCCAACGGGCACCTGGATTGGCTGGTCTGTTAGAAACTATGCGGGTCCAGATGGAGGTATTTCATGACCCTGTTCACTTTAAATGAATGTTTTTTTGGTAACTCATTCATTTAATGTTAAACCTATCCACGTTTCAACATTATTTCAAATATTTATACATGCAGCTTTCCGAGGCAATGGATATTCGAACAAGACAGGGGTTGCTTAATGCTCTTTCAGGAAAGGTTGGCAAGAGAATGGATACACTATTGATTCCCCTGGAATTGTTATGCTGTATTTCACGCACAGAATTTACTGACAAGAAAACATACATAAAGTGGCAAAAAAGGCAGGTAAGTCTTTTTTTTGGCTCTATGAACCTTCTTTATCTGGTGAAATTGGAAAGTGGTGACGTGATTATGACATTATAAGTAATCATTTAACTGTTTTATCACTGTAGTTAAACATGCTGGCCGAGGGGCTAATTAATTACCCTGTTGTTGGATTTGGAGAATCTGGACGGAAGGCTAGTGAGTTGCAGGTTCTTTTGGAAAAGATTGAGGAATCTGAGGTATGCCTGCTGTCTATTATAAGCATCAAATTGCACCAAACTGTAATGGGTCCGTATGTCACTTCACTGATGTTTAAATGGATGTGCACTCATTATTCGTAGTATGTGTGATCTAAATGGAAGTTCTTAGTTCTCCAATGCATGCATACTTTTAACGCTAGGAATGGGAAACACCATAAGAATTCTAGAATGTTACTCAACAAAAAAAATGCAACCTTTGAATATATTTTCTTGGGTCTGGATGCTAAAACCTGAGTTTGGTTATTCATTATTGACCGGAGCAAATTTCAATATTTGAGGAGTTTTGACGTCTTCAATTCTTCTGGGTCTGTTTATCATATTTTAGCCATCTGTAGAATTTCTGACATTTTCTTTCTTTACCAATCATGATAGTGGTATTTAAATCTATTCAACTCTTTTTCTTGACTTTGAAACAGTCTGTAATTCTGAGTTCTTTATCACCTCTAGTAAGAAACCTTTACCACCAAAGTCAAGTAAATGTGCTATAGTGAATAGATTTTTATTCTATTTGAGTGACTCTTGTATCTCCAAGTGACCTTCCTTTCTTTGCCCTTTTTCTATTTTGCTTGCCTTGTTTTAGCTTTAGGCAAGATGCCATATCATTTTATCTAGAAAATCAAGAGTCTGTGTAAATTTATCTATCTTGATCCTATCTTAAACAAGGATACCAATAAAGTTGTCTCAACTATATAGGAATAGGAATAGGAATATATCTCCAGGATCATTCCTTTTTCTTTTTCTTTTTTTCTTTTTTTTTTTCTCCTTTTTTTATAATACTTATGATAATTCATTGTTGTCCTCCGATGGATTATCATTCTTGAAGGTCCAGCAAAACTTCGACTCAAGTTTAATCATCATTATGATTGCTTTGCTGTTGTAGTTTGCATTTGCTCAATTTACTGGCGTTGGTCTTCACAATTCAAAATATACTTTTCCTTCAATTGAGCTATCTTGCATCCCACTTTTTAACACAATCCTTTATTTTATACTTCTGCATGCCATCTTGTTGATTTGACTTCTCTGTCTTCTTCTAGGCTCTTCCTCCTTCCACAGGCGAACTCCAAAGGACAGAATGTTTGAGATCTCTTAGAGATATTGCCATTCCACTTGCTGAGAGGCCGGCTCGTGGTGACTTGACTGGTGAAGTGTGCCATTGGGCAGATGGTTATCATCTAAATGTTAGACTTTATGAGAAACTGCTTCTTAGTGTCTTTGACATTTTAGATGAAGGCAAGCTGACAGAGGTTAGTGTTTCTTTTTGTTGCCTGTTATGCTGATATGGCACCAGAAAGGGTGCTAGGCCATGTCAAAT